CTCCTAACAATCAACAGATTCAATGTAGATTTGTTGAATTAAATTAACACTAATGACTTACATTTATATATTGATTTTCAGTTTTCAATTCTCAGTTTAAATAGAAAGAGCACTGGAGTACCAGCATCCTCAGATTTGTCTCTTTAATATACAGAATAAAGAAGCTTTGAAAATAATTCTGCATTGGGAAACATTTTGCCTGATTTGGCAATTAAGCAAATTTTGGTTATCCAGCAATTTTTGTCATAGCTGTCTAAGAACCTCTGATAGAGTTTTCCCTTCTCATTGAAAATAAGCAGTAGCAAGAAGGAATTTTCTCAACACTGTACATTTCTATTTATTGTAACCCTTAATAAATTTCCAACTCATCCACCCGTGGTGAATGTTGCCAGAATCAGGCCTATATGACCTTTGGCCTGTCACTCATGTCCCTGGTCAACTCTGCCAGCTGCCTGCACCACGTCTCTTTGTCAAGGGCTTTCTCTGAGACCGTGGAAGGCAGGAGGTGCTGGAATGTTCACATTCACATACTCTAGTACCAGCCTTCAACCAATGACTGACAAGAGTTGATGTACAAATACCCAGCCCTGGCCCACATATTCCATACCATCTCTTGGATTCCCCAGTGAGATTGAGTTGGAACCTCTCCCCATGGTGACTTGGTTAACACACCACTTTCTGGCTGCCTTCCCTTCCATATCTCATTCCTCCCTCTCTCCTTGCTTCCTAGAATCACCTCCCAAAGAAACTACTTGCACTCTGACCCTTTTCTCAGAGTCTAGTTCTGGATAAACCCAACATAGACCCCCCCCAAAGCACAGTTCACCAGAAGGGCACTGGGTAAACTCATTACACCCAAGCCATTAAGTCATCTAACAAGGTATGATGCTGCCTGTTAATCCTTTGCTCAAACAATTTTTGAGTTTATCACCATCCACTGATTTCATTGCTCTCCTGGGTGGCTTTACTCCACTTTCCATTCTCATTTCATTAATTATAGTGTAAAAATTTTAATTAAAGGTAAAGAAGATAAATTTGTTTAGGAGCTTCAAAGTTGTCACTCTCAACTCTACACAGGGCGAGAGAGACACTGACTGGAGCAAGCAAGTTCAAGTTCAAGTACTCTGCTGAGAAATTTAGAAGGGGCTATATGGATGCTGTTTTCTCATCTGTACCAATGACATGGAAAAATTTCACAGCAAGGTGTAATTATGTATAATTTTTTGGTAAGATTCCAAGTGCTTGATAAATATTGAAGACTCAAACCATCCTCTGGATGGAAGCTGTCAAAACATGCAATTTTGTACAGAACTCCTATGTCCTATAATATTTTTAGATGACATCTAGTTTAAGTTTACAGGAGACAGTGTCATCTCCTCAACAACATCCCTACCAAATGGACATCAACCCTTCCCTTGACCATTTTTAGATATGGAAAACTTATTATTTCCTGGAAGACCTAACTCCTTTTATTAATAACTGCAATGATTAGAAAGTTCTTCCTCTGACTGAACTATACTCTTTGTCCTGCACTTGTGGGCAGGGATTTTCTTGGGAGAAAGTACTGAACAAGTTGAATGTCTCAGTCCTCATGGAGAATTTGAAATATTTAAAAATGTATTTAGTGTGCCTCTTCCTTATCTCTCCCCCCCCCCCATTTTTTTTCAGCTGTCCTAGTACGTTACAGTTTGGAATCCCTCAAGCATCTGTCAGTCTCTCTTTCTGAGGTGAGAAGACCATTGGAAGCAACCTAGTTGTCCAACGATTGAGGATTGAGATGTTTAAACTATTTTTAAGTTTATTTATTTATTTTGAGAAAGAGAGAGAGAACAGGGAAGGGGCAGAGAGAGGAGAAGAGAGAGAATCCCAAGCAGGCTGTGCATTGTTAGTACAGAGCCTGACGCAGGGCTCCATCTCATGAACCATGAGATGATGACCCAAGCCGAATTCTAGAATCAGATGCTTAACAGACTGAGCCACCCAGGCGCCCCAAGGACTAAGATGTTTAAATAATTATAGCATTAAGACAATACTACGTAGTCCTCATAATTGTGTTTTGAAGAATATTTAGTAATATAAAAATGTTTGTGACTTATCAAGTGGAAGGGGGATGCTGTATATGCAACAGAGCCCAATTTCATTAAAAAATACACACATTATGAGGTGCCTGGGTGGCTCAGTCAGTTGGGTGTCCAACTTCAGATCAGGTCATGATTTCACAGTTTGTGAGTTCAAGCCACATGTCAGGCTCTATGCTACAGCTCCAAAGCCCGGGGCCTGCTTCAGATTCTGTGTCTCCCTCTCTCTCTGCCCCTCCCCTGGTTGCACTGTTTCTATCTCTCTAAAAATAAATAAACGTAAAAAATAAAAAAAATACACACATAGAAGTGAAAGTCCAAGATATGCTAAAATATTAAGAATGATGCTATGAGTTGGTTTTGAATCTGTTTTGTGATTTCCCAAAATTTCTAAGGAGAACATGTATTTATTTTTCAATTAGAAAAATGTTTTGTTTTTTTAAAGAAAGAAACAAATTTAAAAATGAACATGTTCATAGAAGCCATAGAGTTGTTCAGGTATATTCTGATATTGCAGATTAGAGGGGAGCTCGGACCTCCCAATAAGGATGCTTGATTTTCCAATTTTGGATCCAGGGTTTTGGTAGATGAATCTCGCTGTTGATTAGCATTGAACCTGCAATCCATCAGAGACCCAGTGTATTGTTTTCTCATTTGAATTACTTTTGAATCTGGTAACTGGCATTGGGGGCAGCCTGTCACAGATGCACAAGGGCGAGGCAGGGAGAAGGGAGCGATGCCTAGGTCACTCTCCGTGTGAATAGCCTCAGGATGTTTTCATAGCGTAGTGATTCTCTCATTCACCGGACACAGAAGTGACCTGCAGAGGGGCTGGACTGGCTGGAGGGAGGATAGTCACCCCACCTGAGGTCCTATGAGCTATAAGATGCAGTAACACTGGTTTGTGAAAACGAATCAAACCCTATTTGGCAGCTCTATGAGGTGCTGGGTCCTGGGGATGATGGGAACCTTAGCAGCCTGTGCAAAGAATACAAATGCCTCTGTGTGCAGAGAGCAGCCCTCTGAGGAAGAACCTGCCACCCCTGCAGACTATCATCCCTGCCATTTCTTCCTAAGAAAAGGCCTCTGAGTATCAGAGCCTTGGAGAAAATGCAACACACACATTTCTCGCTCTCTCCTTCTGAGAACTCTTTAGGGCGTTGCAGTTAATGCGGAGGCAGAGAAAGGGAGGTCATTGGAAGAGGCGTATGAAACCTTGCACGGAGGCAGAGGAGGGTGCCTGGGTGGCTCAGTCCATTAAGCAGTCCACTTGGGCTCAGGTCATGATCTCATGGTTTGTAAGTTTGAGCCCCGCATCAGGCTCTGTGCTAAGATCTTGGGGCTTGGAGCCTGCTTTGGATTCTGTGTGTGCCTCTCTCTGCCTCTCCCCTGCTTGTGTTCTCTCTCTCTCAAAAATAAATAAACATTAAAATTTTTTTTTAATTTAAAAAATTTAAGGAGGCAGAGGAACAGCCAGGGAGACAGCTTCATGGTGCTTGCAGTGGGGGAAGGTCACAGAGAGAAGGAGGGAACTGTTTCCTCTCACAAAGCAGATGGGCGCTGAGGCAGAATCAGCAGCTCCCAGACAGTTTCTTAGTGTCTTCTCTGAGAGGTGGATTCTCTTCTTTGGGAATAAAGCTCTGACTTAGTTTCTGTTCTTTCTTTCTGGGAGCACATTGGATAGATTATACCAATGATTCATTTAACCTTTCTTTATTTTCTTTTTCTTTAATTAAAAAAATTGTTTATTTTGAGAGAGAGAGACAGAGACAGAGAGAAAGAGAGAGAGAAAGAAAACAGTGGAGAGGTAGAGAGAGAGGGAGAGAGAATCCCAAGCAGGCTCTGCCCTGTCAGCACAGAGCCCGATGTGGGGTTCAAACTCACAAGCTATGAGATCATCACCTAAGCCGAAATCGAGTAGGATGCTTAACTGACTGAGCCACCCAGGCACCCCCCCACCCACTTTTAAAAATTATTATTCAAAAAGATAGTCCAAAGTATACTCCTCTAGATTTGTAAGACCCATGAAGTAAATAGAAGCTCAGTACATCGGTGGTTTGCTTCTTGACGTCTAATGCACTAAACAGACCGATAATCTTTGTTCTCTCTTTGCAGCGTAGATGCACACACCTTCTTCTAACAATCTTTTCTCTACTTAAGTCTGCATTCTTCTAGCTTTGAGTCTCTTAAGCTAACTAAAGTAACATTGAAAAAAATTATTTAAATCTCAGGTTATAGGAAAAGTATAGCTTAATAGTATTTGGATCATTTTAAGCAAACACAGCAGTGCTTGGGTAGGATGCTCCCTGGTGTTAATATAAAGTAATCCCTTCGTGTTTAAATGGTTTGCAGGTTTCATCAGGAAAGCAGTGTTTGATTTGTTATGTAAGAAGTTAGAGCACGTGGCTCTAGCTCAACAGTGTTTATTACAATTCTGTGTTAGCATGTCTTATTTGTCAAGAGATACCAAATGGTGTGCTTAGCGTTGGTGTGGGGTGCTCATAAGCACAAAAGCAATAAAAAAAGATGTCGTCTTTTCTTTCATAAAACTACGATTGCGATGTGAGTTGCCCTTCTTTTCGGCTTTTTGTGATTGGTTTTATCCAGCAAGAATCCAAACAGCTCATTTCCACCTTTCAATTCAATATCCTCAGCAAGAGTGGATGGGAAACCTTGCCAAGACTCTCTCTTCTTCACCTCTGTCTTTTCTCTTGGGTCTCTGTTCTTTCAGACCTCAGGTTTCCTTATCGTCTCTCACAAAGCCACTATTGTTACCTGCTGCCCGGCCCCACACCTTGTCCCTTTGCTTCCGGCCTGAGGTGAGGCTCCAGCAAGATGGACAGGTGTAGCGTGCATGTGTGCGCATGCGTGCCTGTGTTTCTGTGTGTGTGCGCCCGCCTGTACACATCGGCTTGTACTTACGTAGTTCGAGGCCAGGTCCGGGTGGAGGTAGTCAATCCCTGTGAAAAGAGCACCACAGGATGAAAGGTTAATAACTGCCACTGTGTCCTCAGGAAAGTTGCTCAAGAAAGTGCCCTCCTGGTGGGGCTGGTGGCAGGAGAGTTGGGCAGGGCGAACACCTGTGCCTTAGGCCTAGGCTTGCGTTTTCATTCTCGAGGGAGGGTGAGGCGTGCCCACCAGTTGCGTCAGAGCGGGGGAGCCAGTTAGAGCTGGGGCCCCAGGATAAGACTTCTGACATAAATGTCAGTACTAAGGGGCTTAGGGGCTGCAAGATGGATGGCTCATCAGAGCAGTGATCTAAGATTTGTGAAAATCCTGACATTTCCAAAGCACCAGCAGACATTTATTTTGAAATGAAACTGGCTCTGGGGAGGAAAAACGATTGTTGTTTAACAGGATACAGACAGCAATGGATTAGGGGAGTGTTCTCCGGCATGGAAATAATAAGGAACACGGCTAGGTGGGAAAGGCGATTAGGCAGAGGACAAATAGTTTCAGGTGAAGTGTTCTGGGTGGGACTGATGGTTGTCCCTGAAGAATGTGGCTTTCCAGGAAGCCTGAGACATCAGCCTCCCTGCAGGAGCCCTATGCGTTCTCCTGGACATGGACTGTCCTGTTGCCCAAGATTCCTTACAACGGTAAAATTATTAGTACCACTGCATTCCTTCACAGGTGAACCTCAGAAAGCACGTGGAAATTCAAGGCCACACTGGAATTCTCATCCAGGTCTGCAGAGCCGTAGAACCTTTGTAGCAGGTACACCTGAGCATCCAGCCATTTGCAAAACTGGCCAGGTTCCTGCACCACCTGACATCATGGTCACAAGGGTAGGTTTTGGAGTCAAAGACCCGAGCTTGGATCTCAAGGGTGCCGCCAGCTGACCTCATGACTTCAGACAAAGTACTTGGCCTCTCTGAGCTTGTTTTCTTCTCTATCAAGTGAGAGTGTGATCAGGGTGGTGCATTTAGCTCAGCAGCATTCAATAGCTCTGTTGGGTTTGCCCTATTTGGAAGCTTGAGGTATCTCTCAGTGCCTCTGATAGGGGGCGGCTTCACTGTGAGCACACTAAGGCCTGGCTGCTATTATAGCTTTGCCCCACAAAAAAGAACCAGTATCAGGATGTTTATCTCAAAAAAGAAATCTTCCTTCATTTTTTTCTGGTTATACAAGAAATTTCTGGAGTCACCGTTCTATAGAATGTATGTTACATTTTGCTGCTGATATTTTGACATGTGAAGGGTGTCAAATGGCTGCTTCCTATAGTTTGTGGGAGTATAGCCTATCACTTCTCACCCACCATCCTCCTCCTCCCCCACCCTATCTCAAGGATTGTGGAAGGACAGGGGTCAGAAGATTCAAAGACTACGGCGCCTGGGTGGCTCAGTTGGGTAAGTGTCCTACTTCAGCTCCAGTCATGCTCTCATGGTTGGTGAGTTTGAGTCCTGCACTGTCAGTGTGGAGTCTCCCTGGAATTCTGTCTCTCCCTTTCTCTCTGCCCCTCCCTGACTTCTGTGCAATCTCTCTCTCTCTCAAAATAAATAAACTTTTTTTTTTTTTTTAAAGAAGATTCGAAGACTAATATTTTAAATGTTGCAAGCCCTTTTCCTGGACCTTAATTCAGAAATGGTCCATTTCGGCTGTGGGATAGGTTGGGGATGAGCACAGGCTATGGAGACCAGCAGATTTAGTTATCTTCTAGGCTCAGACACTGTAATAATTGTGAGGCTTTGCCAAGTGACATAATCTTCCTGAGCCTCAGTTTCCTCATCTTTGAAACAGGGATATTATTTACCTTGCAAAGCAGAGTTCAAGATGCGAGCCAATTCATTGGAGGTGTTTAGCAGGTAGTAAACACTCAATAAGTTATAGTTATTGTCATCACCATTAGTAGGGTCACCCACATCATTAGAGTCAAATGGATAATGCATAAAAGCAGAAATATTGTTAAAAATCCATTTGGTCTTAGAATGTTGTATTGAAATAAAATTGTTGTATATATTTATTGAAATTGGTTATGATTTGTGAACTCAATGTTGAGCAAAATATTTTGCAACATATAGATATATTAAAAACAGACATGCATACAGAGAATGTTTCTTTTTCTTCTAGCAGGGAGTTAATTGTTTTTTGGCATAATTATACTTCTTAAGCTTATTTCTTTAGCAACCTCTACACCTAATGTGGGGCTCAAACTCAAGACCCTGAGATCAAGAGTCACATGCTTTACTGATTGAGCCAGCCAGGTGCTCTGGCACAATTGTCCTTCTATTCATGCTCATACTGTGTAAGAAGATCCTGGTGTGTGTATATGCACACCTACGCCTCAGGAAAACCAGCTACAAGCCTCCCCCCCCCCCCGAAACTCTGAAGAAGCATCGAGCACACACAATCCCAGATGATACACCTCCCCAACAAATGGCTGGCTTTAGACAGCTGGGTATTTCCCCCAAGGGGGTGCACTGTTCCTGGAAGTACTACAATACTAGATTGAGGCATGAAATAGATGGAGTGAGCTCCTATTCCATGCAGGGAGTCAGTTTTTATTTATTTTTATTAAAAAATGTTTATTTTGAGAGAGAGACAGAGAGAATGAGCAGGGTAGGGGTAGTGAGAGAGGAAGAGTGAGAATTCCAATCAGGCTCTGAACTGTCAGTGCAAAGGCCGATGCAGGACTTGAACTCACAAACCATGAGATCAAGACCTGAGCCAAAACTGAGTTGGATGCTTAACTGACTGAACCACCCAGGGAGTCAGTTTTTAAAACATGATTCTATGTTCTGATAGTGCAAATTGTCTGGGACAGAAATTTTCTGAGAAATAGTTTATTCTCTGTGAAAGGAAAATATCAAGGCAAAGAGATAATTTGAGACCTGAAAGAAATTAAAATTAAAATAAGATAAATTTTGGGGCGCCTGGGTGGCTTAGTCAGTTAAGCGTCCGACTTTCGCTTAGGTCATGATCTCGCGGTTCGTGGGTTCGAGCCCCGCGTCGGGCTCTGTGCTGACTGCCAGCTCAGAGCCTGGAGCCTGTTTCAGTCTGTGACTCCCTCTCTCTCTGACCCTCCCCTGCTCATGCTGTCTCTCTCTCTCTCTCTCTCTCTCTCTCCTAGAAATAAATAAAACATTAAAAAAAAATTTAAAATAAGATAAATTTTGCCCTAATTAAAATAAAGGATCTTTAAGTTAGGTTAAGGGGAAGACTGAGTGTTAAGTTAGAATAGACACGGACTTTGGTCTAAGAAAGAAGGGATTATCAATAGAACCATGAGGGATGACAGACAGGATTCAAAAAAGAAATAATGGACTAAATGAAGCATGAAAATAATGGCCTGGTAATTAAATAGTATTTTAATATTTTTGTGTATTTGGTTATCTTTTCAGATGGAATATACTGAATACATGTTCTCAATCAGCTTATTTATTTTTTATTCCTTGTATTATTAATGTATTCATTTTTATTCTTCTCTCATTGGCTGATTTCCAGCAGTGAATGCCAGACACTATGTGGGTCCTGGAAAAACATAGACCATGTAGACACAGAACCTGAGCTGTTCAACTATATATGGCTCCAAGTCCACAGGGTGGACCAGCTCATTGCCAGCCAATCATAACACACTGTGGTATGCAAATGACAATTACTTGGTTATATTTTACACTAGTATCCTGTCATCATTTTCAGCCTTTTGAGAAAGTCTAAGCTACAATAATCCAAATTCTCAGGAAACTCTGATGGTACTAGAGACCTCAGGGAATTACTAAGGCACTCCGTGTACATATTCCTAGTTACAGTTCCTAGTTAGTAGTATGGTTGAGATGTATAACAATACCACACACCTTCTTTGGAGGTAGGTGTGTTTTCTCCTCTTTAATCTGGGTGGGTTACGACTACTTCTACTAATAAGATGTTGCATGACTTTCAAGGTGAAGTCAGAAAAGGTCTTCAACCCGTCCCCTTTAGACACTTGTCCACTTGGGGGAAGTCAGCTGCAATGGAAGAAGCCCATATGAAGGCCTGTGGTTTGAAACACTCAGCTGAGCTACAGCAGCCAACATCGATGGCCAGCTATGAGAATAAGCCATGGATGTCCACCCTAGTTGAGCCTTTGGATGACTGCAGCCCAGCCCACAACAGTCTGCCTACAACGGTATGATAAACCTTGAATGAGAAATGCCCAGACTGGCTCTTCCTGAGCCACAGAATCATGCGTTCCTGTGCCACAGAATCATGAGCAAAATAGAGTTAATCTAAGTGGCTAAAGGTTGGAGTCATCCGCTACACAGGAATAATGACTGGAACAGATATCCCAATGGCCCTTCTGAGAACCATGAACCCCAGGTTGGGGGAGAAAGCATTGCTTTCCTATGTGATGAAGACTTCTAACTCTCTTAGAAAGGTGTGGCTGACTGCCTGGTCCTTAAGCTTGGATTTTCACTTAAAAGGTTGAGATCCAACTCACAAAGAGCTACCGGGGAAGGGAGGGTGGTGGGGCGGGGGGGGGGGGGGGGGAGAGCCAAGGGGTAGGCTTCAGGCACTGAAGATGGTGGTTAAGATAAGTTTGGGTAATTTTTTGCCTCCCTAAACCTTAGTTTTTTCATCTGTAAAATGTGAATAGTATGAATCTTAGAGAATAATTGTGACTGTGTTTCTAAACTTCAGGCAGTGCCTAGTACAAGAAATGTTAGTTTCCATTGTTACTTCAGCTTGAAATTCTCTCTGACCCTGCCTTCCTGGCCTTCAGTCTTACTTCCTTAGCTCTATCTGATATTGGCTAACAGCTTTGGCTCATGCCTTTGCTGACCATCTCTGACCTTGATAGCCTGCTCCTGTCCTGAATTGTGTCAGTGCTGGGTGGTGGCTCCTATCCATCTCCATGTCTTGTTATGGCCACATCTTGTTTTCCAGCTCAAGTTCCCAACATGAAACAACTTTATTTGCAACAAAAGTGATGAGTTGTTATCATTAAGCAGGGTCCTTGCTGACATATACATGCCTGGAACATCAGAGCAAACCCTTAAGAAATGCTTTCTGCCCCATTGAGCAACACTTAACCATAGAGGTACTCTCCTACTGATGTTTAGTATATGGAAATGACATTAAGTTGCACCTAAATTAAAGTAGTAGATATATTTTTTAAATGTTTATTTGTTTATTTTGAGAGAGAGAGAGAGAGCACAAGCAGAGGAGGGGCAGAGACAGAGGGAGAGAAAGAATCCCAAGCAGGCTCCAAGCTGTCAGCACAGAACCTGACATGGGGCTCGATCCCATGACCATGAGATCATGACCTGAGCTGAAATCAAGAGTTGATGCTAAACTGACTGAGCCACCCAGGCACCTGAAAGCAGATATTTATTGAGCATGTATTGAGTCATTGGATTTGGGAGAGAAGATGTTGGCCTAGTTCTGAGTTGTTCAACCAGAGAGTGTAAATGGCTATTAAAACCGGGCTGCTCTGGAAAACAGTGTGGAGGTTCCTCAGGAAACTAACAATAGAACTCCCCTATGACCCAGCAATAGCACTGCTAGGAATTTACCCAAGGGATACAGAAATGCTGATTCATAGGAGCACATGTACCCCAATGTTCATAGCAGCACTCTCCACAATAGCTAAAACATGGAAAGAGCCTAAGTGTCCATCAACAGACGAATGGATCAAGAAGATGTGGTTTATCTATACCATGGAATACTACATGGCAATGAGAAAGAATGAAATCTGGCCATGTGTTAGCAACATGGATGGACCTTGAGGGTGTTGTGCTGAGCGAAATAAGTCAGGCAGAGAAGGACAAATATCATATGTTTGCACGTATAGGAGGATTAGGAGGAACTTAACTGAGGAACAAGGGGGAGAAGAAGGGGGGAAATGGTGGGGGAAAGGGAGAGAGGCAAACCATGAGAAACTCTTGAATGCTGACAAAAACTGAGGACTGATGGATGTGGGGTGGAGGGGGGATGGGCATGGAGGAGGGCACTTGTGGGGATGAGCACTGGGTGTTATGTGGAAACTAATTTGACAATAAACTATTTGTAAAAAAAATAAAAAAAAATAAATGGCCAATAAACATAAAAAAAAGTGGGCTGTCTATAGATTAACTCTTCCACATGCAGATAATCAATTGTTTCCCATAGAGGCCAAAACAAAGAGCCAATCGTATATAAAATATGATGTTTTGCTCTTAGGAATGAAGGTCGGTATCTGTGTCTGTCTTTACCTTGTTTGGGAATGATATCTTGCTAAGCAAATATCTGCGAAATGATTCCATACTATTCACAGATGCTCGCAGCCTCACCATAGTGCTTCCCATTTTAGGTGTTAGGGTGGAGGTGTCCAATGGCGCAGTGTAAGGCTGCTGAGCATCGTCCTTGTTGCGTGGGAAGCCACTCATGTCCCAGACGTACTTGTCTTACTCTTCAACAGCGGATTTGGAGAATGGCTTAGTAGTCCTTCTCTTCTTCAGTTGCCACACTGAATAAGCATGTGCTGAATTAAAGACAGCCACAAATCCATCCTTTGTTTCTCTCCACAGCCAAGGTGTGGAATCTATTCCCCTTCTTCTGGAATCTGGCCCTGAGACCTTTCGTCCAATAGAAGTGGCAGTGTGATGCTTGCTCATTCCATGTCCAGCCTGCAGGTGTAGCCTGGCAGCTTCCACTTCCTATTTCTTAGAATGAATATTGGGTCCCCGAGCCATCTATAAGAAATCCAGCCACGTACTGGGGAGACCACATGGAAAGGAGAGGTCCTGGCAGTACGTGGAACGGAAGGGAGGCTGAGCCATTTCAGCATCCCAGTCAAGCCTCCAGTTGACATTGGCCTCAGTTGCACCCTGACCTTAGCTGCATAAGAGACCCCAGAGAGATCAATAACAGAACTTTCCAGCTGAGCCAGGTCAACCCACAGAACTGTGAGAGAGGACACCATGGTGGTTGTGTTAAGCCACTCAGTTTTCGGGTGGTTTGTTCTGCAGCAGTAGATGACCAAAAGAGTGGAGAAGTTAGGAGTTTTAATGGGGGGGGCAGAAAGTTCAGTTCTGGGGAGATTCCCAAAGGCCACTAAATCAGAAGAAATAATAAAAAACAGTAAACTCTGCTGAGCCTTTCTTTCTAAAATTTTTAATATTTATTTTTGAGAGACAGAGCACGAATGGGGTAGGGGCAGAGAGAGAGGAAGACACAGAATTCAAACCAGGCTACAGGCTCTGAGCTGTCAGCATGGAGCCCAACGCAGGGCTCAAACTCATGAATCATTAGATCATGACCTGAGCTGAAGTCGGATGCTCGACAGACTGAGCCACTCAGGCACCCTGAGACTTTCTTTCTGAAGAAGGGTTTTGGCTTCTCAAGCTGGGGAAGATGGATCAGAGTCAGGGATCATCCTCCACCTTTCTTCCAGTCAAGGGGGCTGCAGTTAAAGAATCCTGACATGGGCATCACAGGCTGTTGGAAGTTTTGCAGAAGCAATGTGCCTGTCTGTGGCTACTGCAATGCCACTTTTAGGTTGCCCCTCTAATCCACCAAATACTGTGTGATTACAATATATTCTAGGCGGACTTCAGACGTAGATGCATCTTTCTCCCGGGTGAGCTGATTCAGTCACTTTTGATATCCAAAGCATTAAGAAGGAAGAAACAGTCATAAGCTCCCAACATCCAAGTTCACAAACACACTGTCTCCTGCAGAGCTCCTTTCTTCTTGTGAAAGCCCTTGGCCACTGGAGAAAGCTTTCACATCCACTTCAAAACCTCTCACACATCAGAAAACACGGAGGCATTGTTTTTATGTGGATATTTAATGAGCCTATGCAAAGACAGCACCAATTCTAAGTATGCTGGCTCCCTTTGTTTCAACCATTAATTTGGCTTCAAAGGCTTGCTTTGGAGAGCATAGTGTTCTTTGAGGAGCTTCAGAAGGGAAAAGCTCCATTGTTTCACCTCTGTATAGGCTTTCTGCGTAATTGCATCAATACAGCACAGCGGCACAGCGGAGCTTTTCCTGGAAGATCCAGGCAGCTGATGAAGGGCAAGAGTATCTCCCCAGTGAGATGAACACAGGGCAGAGATTCTCCTGAATCTTGGCAGAGCCAAGGATGTGTGTAGTTAGAAAAACACCAATTCATCAAACCCATTGGTTTTTGTATCACAAACTATAGGAAATAGTTTGTCTGGCAGGCATATGGGGCAGAATAACGTATTATAGGGGGCATATGTAATAAAATGTTACCAAAGTCTGCTTTACAAGAGTTCATTCTGAAAGTAGCAATAAAGTCAAAATTTCTCCAGACTCCAATCCTGTTACCAAAAAGCTATTTCGTGGCTGCAGAACCATGCCGTGTAATAGAACTTTCTGTTATGATAGAAATAAAGTTGAACTGAATTTCAGCAGCTGCTAGCTAGCCCCTTGTGGTCATTGAGGACTTGAAATGAGGCTAGGATGATTGAGGAATTGAATTTTTAATTTTATTTAGCTTAAATTAATTAAAATTTCAGTGTAAATTGCCACACAGATCTAGTGGCTATTGCACCAGACTGTGGATCAGAGAAATAGATGATAAATACAAATGAGTTTAGAAGATGCTTGGAGGTAAGGTATAAGCAATGGCTCAATAAGAAATTACAGGTCAGTGATGGTCAGTTTTCCTTCATTTTTTTAATTTTAAATCTATTAACCCAATCAATATTTGTTAAAGGCATCCTCAAGTTTGAGGACCACTGATCTGGAGGAAGAGGAGGATTTTGCCACAGTTTAGTTGGTGATTGGATCCAGCTATTCTGCCCTTGCCTAGCATCTCCAAAACAGTGAATATTTTTTTAAAAATTAACACTTATTTATTTCTGAGAGAGACAGAGAAAGCAAGCAGTGGAGGGGCAGAGAGACAAGGAGACAGAGGATCTGAAACAGGCTCCGCCCTGTAATGGCAGGGCCCAATGCGGGGCTTGAACTCACAAACTGTGAGATCATGACCTGAGCCAAAATCAAGAGTCAGACGCTTAACTGACTGAGTCACCCAGAAGCCCGCAAACAGTGAATCTTTTATATTCCAAAGGAATGCAAAGACACATTTGCTGCCAAATGATGCAAAGGCTTTGAAATACTCACCATCATCCATAATTCCAATGGTAACACCTTTCCCTGTGTATCCCAGCTCCCAAGCTTCTGCCACATTCAAATCAAGACCAGGAGTGCCATCAGCTTGCCCTGTGTTGATCTGATTAAGGAATTCCAAAGCAGAGAATCTTATTAGTCTGGTGGAGTAAAACACCTGTCTAAATGTTTGCAGCCATCTAGTATTCCAGGGCCAGCTTAAAGGCCAAGTCTACCATGAAACCATACTTCTGGATGTTTCTCCACCCACCTCTTCCAGCCTTCTCCCTCCATTTTTAAAAAAATATACACAATTGATGTTTTCTATGTTGTGTAAATATGCAAACACAGTGTCAATCCCTCCATCTCTTAAATTTTTAAAAAATGTTTATATATATATATATATATATATAATTTTCTTTTTGAGAGAGAGAGAGAGAGAGAGAGAGAGACGAGTATGAGCCAGGAAGGGGCAGAGAGTGGGAGACACAAAATCCAAACCAGGCTCCAGACTCCAAGCTGCCAGCACAGAGCCTGATGCAGGGCTTGAATTCATGAATCATGAGATCATGACCTAAGCCTAAGTCAGACACTTAATGAACTAAGCCACCCAGGCACCCCTCAATCTCTCCATCTCCTATGACTGGATTGCTGTACTTAAACTCCTTAAAGCTGCTATTGCAAGAAACCCTCTCAAGTTTGGAATTAAATGCTCACTCTTGGAGTATTTATTTATACCTCATGTTTTGAAGTTAGCACATATTGTCTTGGATTATTCTTATTTGAATATGATTTCCTTGCTCAATAACAATATGCTTTGTGAGAGGAAGCATGTCCTATTTACCTTTAATTTCAGTACCACCACACCAAATCTTGCTTTAAAATGTTTGAGGAATGGATTAAAGATAGTTGGCTCACTTTTAGTCCTTGTTCTAATGGGGGTAAATGTCTTTTCCCTAAAAAATGTCAAAAAAGGGAAACAAAGGAATTCCAGATAAATATGTTCACTGTTCTCTTTTCAGTCATCTTTGTTCTGTGCAGATTTTCTCAAAGATGAGTTCTGAAAACAGCAAAGTCTGAACTTGTATTGACAGAAGCCCATGGTGACCTGTTGCTAAAACACTGTGTGGATGTCATTACGCCTTTTTGTAAAAATGACTGGTCTTCCAGGCACATGTTAAGGTTACACTCTCCATTACATAGTAAGTTAGTAGAATGCTCACATGACTGGTTTGAGCCAATAGAATGTGGGCTTGTGTGCCATTTGTCATATCCAGGCAGGAGCCTTAAGGAGCTAGTGTGTGACCTGCTCCTTCCCCTTGTTAGGGTGCTTTTGAAAACAGGTATCGGGAGGGAGCTGAGATGGAGCCTGGGTCCATGAGGTGGAATTATGAAGTGTTGGATGTATAGCATGAGTGAGCAACAAGCTTCAATTTAAGTCAGTGTGATTTGGGGGTTGGTTGTGATTGCAAGACACACTGTAGCCTCACTTGATTAACACACATAAGCCTTTTCACTTGCCCAGATCAGATTTGTAGGATTCCACACCAAAACGTCAAGGTCACAGTCAAGCTGTGAAGACCCAAGAGGTATGTTGTGATGCATTTCTATAAATGTATCAGTCCATAGGGCTGTAATTTAGTCTTCTCTCTTGCTCATCACCTTTTGATCTTAAATAAAGTAAATCATCACTCATATTTTAAAATCACTCACTCCTTTCCCCTCAAGATGGCCTGTAGGTAGATTGGTTTATAGGCTCTGAGTCTCTTTTAAATATAACCCAACCTGTCCAAATGGGTCACGGAGGACTGCTGGTGAGCCAGAAATATCCACTTCACTTGACAGATTGAGTTTCCAGGCCTTGAAACCTGCATCAGTGAAGCCCCATGGATGTGACTTCCTGCCATTATTTTAGGAAGAACTAATGGATGCTACTTTAATTGCTTTGGTCTTTGAGCTCTCTTGCTTGTCTCTTGTGAAGTCATCTGATTCTTTTCTCTTATGCTGGTGATTTCATTATGTCCTCCTGTCGTTCTGCCTGTTGAAACCATTGGATTACTCCCCACAGACTCTTGACTCAACTTCTACATGATTTTGTAGAAGTCTCCCCTCCTGCATTGGTGTGCTTTTTCAGAGTCTGGGGCAATCTTATCAGCATCGGATAGTTGTTTTGACCCTAAGAGATCATGGCTATTTAACGGTTCCAGAATAAAGCAGATTAGGGAACATGATGTATGGGTGTTGATAGAAAATCAATACGTATTGGAGTGGACAGAGAGATTCATGGAGTCAGATGCTGGCTGAGATCCCACAGAATGAGGAAAGAGAAATGCATCTTTTATCCAAAGGCTCAAGATGGGAAATGTTAAGAATAATATGGAGATGCTTACCAGATACCACTGCTTTGTAAAAAGAGGATCATTCATGTTGATGTCAATCTCATTGATGTCTCTATACCCCCGCTTCTTTCTGTCAAATCCTTCTTGCTGCAAGGCCATCTTTACCTGAAATGACATATTGGCATAAAACCTGAATATCAACCTGGACACCTTCTTCTGGAATTCATTTCCATGAATTCAAATTCCATTTGTACAGAAGGTGTTTTCTTTTTTTTCTGCAGAAGCCAAGTTCATCTCCTGTACACTCTACTCTCTGTGATTATTTTCTGAAAGCATTTGCTTCTGGCCATGCTCAATAAATTGGGCTTGATGATGCCTCAAAATGAGTTTCCTTAAAATGAAAATTCAATAGAGAAAGGTACTATCAAGGAAGAAAAGGTAGTAGGGTTTGTTGAGGGAAATAAAACAAAGTAACACAATACTTCTATTAAGTGAAGAAGATTGATGTGGATTCAGGAAGGGAGAGAGTGAAAACGGCATTGATCATTTTTCTGGAGGACTTACTAGCCTTTACATTTGTTGATGGGACTGTGCTACCTCATTTGGGAATCAGCCAAAACCAAAACCAAAACCAAAATCAAAACCAGACCAAACCAAAACCAAACCAAACCAAAAGAAAACCTGCCTGGAGAGCCAGCAAGTTCACAGCAAAGCTCTAGAAGGTAAGTGAGGGATCTTTGCAAAGAAATGGATGGTATTGCTGTCCTGGCAATGACAATACTTCAATTTTGGAAAGTCAGACAGAACCCCACCCTTTGGGGTGGAAATGAAACTTAGGTGCTGAATTGTTTAAGCAGACTCCTGGCAACAGTTAGACTTTTTTCCATTCATGAAACTTTCCTTCACTTGGACAATAATGAATTTATCATCCAGTGGCTGTGGCCAGTCTCTGAATAGGTACAAACTCAAAAACTATGCAAATGTAGAAAAGGATATGGACTGAATACATATTTTTAAAATTATATTTTTCTGCCCAACATTTATTTCTTCCTTTCCCAAATATCTTCAGTATATTTGGGGGATTACCTGGAATCCACTAGGTTCTGTCTTGGTGGGAGTGAAATCTGAGACACTTATCAGCTGCAAAGAAATTGAAGGCTCTCTCTGCCTCAGAGGTGCCTAAGTGTGTATGGATTTGCATCTTGGGAAAGTAATGTGAGGGGAGAAGGAGTCTTTGAAGGCTATTTATTCCATAGGTTCACTCATCAGACCTGCGCTGTAAAAGGTTCTTGCTATAGTTCCACAACCCGGCCCTGGAGCTCCCCCAAGACTAATCTTTTGGCCTTCCACTGGTTGGGAGCTCCCCATACCATTCGAAGAATTCTCTTTTGCTTAAGTAATCCAGAATCGATTTCTGTTGCTTGCACTTGAGAACTCTGATTGGGACCAGGGAAGACAAGAGTACCAATATGTCAACAGTGACGGTAGGGAGGGAAAAACGAAGGGATCACAAGCCTCCCTGTAATGTGCAGCAACACTGTAGGAGAGTGGTTCTTCACTTCCTTCTACACACTGACACAGGAAAGCTGGGACATTTGCCAGAAAATCTTTAATTCTACCAGAAACTCTGTATGTGTAGGAAAGAAGTGGTAGGTGTGGCATTTGCTCTGTTCTTTGGAGGTATTCCAACAATAGATATTCAGTTTGGCATGTAGCAAATATTTGGAATTGTGGGATGGATGTGTTTTCTTTTTTTAAATTTTAATTTGTTTATATTAGAGAGAGAGAGAAGCATTCATTAGTGGGGGACAGGCACTAGAGGGAGGGGGAGAGAGAGAGAGAGAGAGAGAGAGAGAGAGAATACCAAGCAGGCTTCTTGCTCAGCACAGAGCCCAATGTGGGGCTCCATCCTATGATCCTGGGATCATCACCTGAGCTGAGATCAAGAGTTGGAAACTCAACAGACTGAGCTATCCATGCATCTCACAGATGGATAGTTTTATAATGGCAAAAATCTAGACACAACTAGTGTCCATCAATTGGAGAGAAATTATGATTTAAATATACATATGCATATATGTATATGATGTGTATTTTATATATGCATATGTGTATATGGTGTGTATTATAGATATATACTTTATATATGTGTATGTACATGCATATATGTGTATGATGTGTATTTTATATATATTTATATATATGGATATATATCTTCTGAGATATATATATATATATGGATATATATCTTCTGAGATATATATATGGATATATATCTTCTGAGAAGCAGATGCCAAGATGAGATTAAATATGCAAGGTTTTTATTAGGAGAGAAAATGCAAGACACTGCTATGCAAGCATGACCCTGTCAAAGAGAGCATGAACAACGTTGGACAAAAGTGTCTTCAACTGCCCCATAGTGTAAGGAAGGTATGACAAGTCTCTTGGGGTTCTAAGGTCAGCTTTCAGAGGAACCCTGTGTCTCCCAGGGACAATCATTCCTCAGTGCTCCTGCTGTGCCCAGTCACTGGGTGGAGCCGTCTGGGAAGCATGGCCTGTTGCCAACACAGTGACAGATTTCAGAGTGCAGCAGCTGGGGTCCTTGGTCAATTACTCTCCTGGAAATCAGAGGTGTGCTCTGTGTATTCTCACAGCTGCCACAGAACAGATAGAAAGATAGATCTACCTAAACACACACACACACACCACACACACACATTTATGTACAGTGTACCCCTCTTAAAACTTTTCTTTTACTATGGAAGCAAGTATTCAAGGAAGAGTGGTAAGAGTGTCACTTTTCACTTGGAAAGGAAGCTGAATTCAACCATTGCATCTTCCCATAGTGGTCTTGAGCAAGACTTTTATCTGGTCAATTCATTAATGGTAAGCTTTGGTTGGCTTCCATCTTAGGATTCCTGTCATATTGGATTCATTGTCAAGACTGATTTTGTTGAGGTAGCGATGTTCTATTTGCTAGGGCCTTTGCTGAGCAAGAGCAGCTGCCTTGTGGATGCTTGAAAACTCCCCTCTGGAATTGCTTCTCAGCAGCATAAGAACAAGAAAACCCACATCGGATTTCATCTTTTTTTAGATAACAGTGCAGGAATGGCTATGACAATAGCACTCCAAACTTAATTAGACTGAGTGCAGTCTAATGAAAAGACTTAAAATTCATTTCCATAAAATTAATTTTTAATTCCATAAATTAGGATTTAATGGAGACCAGCGATGCTTTGGAACGCTGTGCTCTCTGGACACCACCCCTCCTTGCTACTCAGAAGTGCCGAAGCATGACGTAGGTGTCTGCAATCTTGTCATTTAGTGTTACTAAAAATTAAAACTCCTAAGACTGCAGTCCTTTCTGAGCTTTTTAGTTTATCTTCACGTCTTTAATGAAGATCACAGTTACAATGCCAAGAGAGTGAATACCTTTAAAACATATATTTTTGGGGCGCCTGGGTGGCTCAGTCAGTTAAACGTCTGACTTTGGTTCAGGTTATGATCTCACAGTTCATGAGTTTGAGCCTCTAATCAGGCTCTGTGCTGACAACTCAGAGCCTGGAGCCTGTTTTGGATTCTGTGTCTCCCTCTCTCTCTGACCCTCCCTTGCTCACGCTGTCTCTCTCTCTCTCTCAAAAATAAATTAAAAAGACATTTAAAAAAACATATTTTTCTTGTTATATGCAAATAACTGAAAAATAGGTATTTTTCCTCACAATGATACCACAGAACACCATAAATTGCTTTTATTTTTCTGGGTTCTTGTTCAATGCTAATTTGCATTTAAACCTAATTTTTACATAAGAGTAATTGAATGACAGATAAAATTATGCATTCTTTCTTCACTAAATAGTCTACACAGGGATTTTAATATGCTTCTCTATAGCTCTCATAATTTAATTTTTAATAGCTACCTAAATATCCCATAGAATAATGTACCATAATTTACCCAATGATTTCCCTCTTACTGGTCATTTGGATTGTTTTCTACTATAACTGAAATTGCCAGTAGCAGAAAGATGAGATTATTAACTATTTTTAAAGATCTCTGGAGAAGATTTCAGTGTTATAATCCTATATGTGATAAAACAGTTAATAAGAGAGAAGTACTTCCTAGTGTTCAAATTCCTTCCTCACATTATAACTAAAAGGTTACTTTTATTCTCTCTTTTTCTTCATCTGAATTATAACCTTTCATACACGATACCTTTCATTACCACTTCGATGTGGCACCAATGACCTGTAAATTAACCATAGCTTCTTGCCTTCTTGAAAAATAATGTATAGTTAGCTTAGGTATTTCATTTTAGACTGCTTGCCCAAGTTGTTACAACCAAACATTTATATGGATAAAAAATGTATATAAGAAAGCAAAAGTGTTTGTTACGGGGAATTATTTTCTTAGAAATGAAGAGGTAGATATTCTGCAATTCTAGTTCAGCTTTTGAATCCTAATTTGACATCTGTGCTAGAACAAATTTTACTCCAGAAACTCCCCCCACTACCTTCCTTAAGAATTTTTCAGTCAACAAATTTTTCAGTTTGGGCATCTATAATATGCCAGTTACAGATCATTCTAAAAGGAGGCAGATACTATCCCTGCACATTTGCATTCTATTTTACAAGTTTCCTTAACAAGGTACTTTCACTACATATAATTTTCTCAACAAGACTGTGGGGATGGTATGGTTACAGCTGAGGGAAGGAGGGTTAGCGGCCATTGTTCAGTGGTTGAAAACATAGCAGAGTCATGTAGACTGACCAATTCTAAATACTGTGTACTTTCCACAAAGCCACATTGACTCTCTCTAAGGCACGGAGCACAGTCAACCTTCCAGTATCTGGGACAACTTAACCGTGGATATAACTCTCTGAGGATCAGGGCTTGGATCACTTCCCCACTGGGCTGATAATTAAACAGCTGCTAATTAGCATTGACTGTGCTGGACAGGAGAGGGGTGAGGAGAAAGAGGAGCAATATGGGAATCCTGCTTCCAAAGGGTGATAACACTTCTCTTGGAGTGAGCCCGGGAAAAGAAACATAAAACACAAAACTGACGTGCTAGTGAAAATGCTGAAGTTTCTAAATCTATGATGCTGTAGATGTGTCACATCATTATTTTTTTTGTATTACCAAGAATTATTTTATTTACCACTTTTAT